ATCATAATTATATAATATATTCTATAATAATAGTTTTTGTATTATATTAAATATAATAATAAATATATATTATATTGTAATTGTATATATTATATTATATATAATAGTATAATATAATATAATCGTAATTTTTAACTATCCACTGCAATTCAACCTCATAATTTATCAAACGTTATTACACTGATTTTGGAACAAGCACATCTATTATAATTATAGTTTACTAAATAGTCAGCTGCTTTTTGTAACAACTGCTTCTTTCTTCAGCACAACTAAAAGTAATTTTTTTAAAATCTACAACACTACCAAACTAAGCCTATACAGTATGCTCTCATCAGTTTAGTTGTCACAAATAAGGCTTTTTTTAAAATAAAAAGTATCCCATTTTACTAGAATCTAAAATGTATCCTCTCTGTTTTCCACATCAGACAAAAAGTATCTCTTCTTTTAATTCTAAAATTTTTAACTCCTTAAATCTAACCAAAAAAATCCAAGCAAATTTAATAAAGATGAGCACATTACAATAATTTTACAAGTTTAAAAAGTTTATTATCAAAATTAAAAATTTAAAAGACAATTTGTTAAACTACGACAAGTTTGAGGGACAATTGTGCTAAAATATATTTTTTTTCTAAATAGCTAAATTGTCCTTAAATATTCTAATATATTGTTTAAATCTGTGATATGCTATATCAGCTTTCAAACAACCCTCTTAGATCTTTTTTCTTTTTCTTTTTTTTTAAGTGGCCCTCTTAAATTCAAACATTAATAATGGGAAGAGAATCTACAACACAAATTTAAACAAGTTTTTCTTTTTTTTTTCTTTGCCTTTTTTTAACACCAATTTGAACAAATTGATTTACTATACACTGCATTGCACTACATTTTGAAATCTTTAAAAAAGAATTGCTCAATATAGTGCATAATAAACCAACTTGTTAGAATTGCCCAGTACCACTAAAGTCACAACAAAATTTACATTTTTTTTAAGATTTCACTTTCTTAAATTGAAAAAATAAATGTGCAAATTGGTGCTGAAATTTCCTTCACATTATCTAAAAGGGTCATTAAAAAAAATTAAGAGTAGTGTTTAGAAGGTAGTATAGCTCAGCACAAATATAGGCAGTGCGTGGAATATCCAATGACAATTTGACCATGTCATAAAAATTAAACCAAAAAAGTTAAAAAAAATAGATACTTTTGTTTGGTATGAAAAATATTGGGGGGTTATATTTTTTATTTTAAAAAACTAAGGGTAAAAGTTATATTTAGGTAAAATTGAGGGATACTTTTTGAATTTTCTCTTTTTTTGTACTTGTATCCTTTAAACTTTTCAAATTTGGCAATTAATCCTTATTCTTTCTCCTGCAATAAACCTCTTTAACTTTTAAATATTTACAATTAAGGTCCAATTGAAAATGTTGTCTGGTTTTTTTACACGTAAATGTGTCTGTCTGTTAGGGCAATAATCAAGAATTGTTTATCACAACTAATTGTGTTTGAACTCATTAAATGACTATGAATCAATATAACTAAATAAATAGGGTGAGAAATGACATTCGTTGCAATTAACAAATGCTGAAGTGCTTGTTACCTGATCAAAATCCTCCAAACAAAAAAAAAAACAGATGGTGTTTTTTATTATGTAAAGATCTAAAAGGCAAAAGAGTCAATTGTCAAAAAAAATAACAATCAAATTGAAATTGCCAAATTTAAAATGTTGAGGGGGTGTCTTAAAAAAAACCCTAATAAAAACAAAACTTTTAATTATAGAGATACTTTGAGAAATTATGGGAGAGAAGTTTAAAAATTGTAAGAGAACTCTAGAATTTAAATAATCAGAAGAGAAATGTTAAGAAATGCCAAGAAACAAGGGTACCCAATAAAGAACCTCATGGACTATGCTACGAATATTAGAGTTTTTAATTTGTGTGATACAAATGAGCTAGTCGAAGGTAAGCTAATAATAATCTTCATGGATTATGCTATGAATATTAGAGCTTTTAATTTGTGTAATACAAATGAGCTAGTCCAAGGTAAACTACTAATAATAATAATATAATAATCTTCATGGATTATGCTACGACTATTAGAGCTTTTAATTTGTGTAATACAAATGAGCTAGTCCAAGGTAAACTACTACTACTAAGAATACTAATAATACTAATAATAATGATAATGATAATAATTTATTTTTCCACTTAAAATATTGTATTTTTCATTTTGATTCCTTTTTCTTTTTAACTTTTTCTTTTCCTTCTCTTTTTGAATTTTTTTTATTTTCGTTCTTGCCCTTCTTTTAAATCTTTTTCACCTCATTTACCTTGATTAAAATATTCTTTTCCCAAATGTGCTCTTATTTAAATATTTATTTCCAATAGTCTTTTAAACTATTAGCATACCAGGAGTTATTCTCATAATTTTTTCTAATTGTCCTATTAAAATAAATTTCTACAAATATGCTATTCTAAAATTTTTATATTTTTCGTTCTTGCATTTTTTTAAACTTTATTTCTCTGATTTACCTCAATTAAAATATTTTTTTTTCAAATGTGGTCGTACTAGATGTTGCTTTCCAGTGGTGCTATAAAATATTATTACACAAAAGGTTATCTCACAAATTTTCTTTTCCTGAATCGTCCATTAAAATAAATGTTTATAAATATACCCTTACTTAAATTCTTCTTCTCCTTCTTCTCTCTCTCTCTCTCTCTCTTTTACCCTAACATCTTATTTATTTTTAAATATGCTTCATTAGATTATTTTTTAAAATCTATCTCATTGTGTATCAATGGTGTACCTATCTAAATATTTTTTTTTCATATGCTCCTCCAAAATATTATTATATCAAAAGTGACATTGTAATTTTTTCTTCTTTTTACAATTTCTCCACTAAAATAATTTCTCTTAGATATGTCTTTAATGCAACATCTTTCTCATGCATCTTTTTTAGTTCATTTTTCTCAAATGGGTCCCTATTTAAATATATATTTTCTCAAGTCTGTTTTTTAAATATTGTCTAATTTTATCTCATTAATTTTAAGTCTCCCCTAACATACTGTAATGGATTTACTCATCTGACACTCATTTTTAAAATATAAAATTAAATTAAGCTAACAAAAAATATTAATTATTAAAAAATAATAAACAAACTCAATGTCCAATTATTCAAGAACAACCCAGAAATACATCAATGTTCAACAAAAGAAAATACCCAGAAATATATAATGGTATACAATATTTTTTCCGATTCCCATATAAGATTCAAATACAAAACAATACTTTAGCAATTTCAACACCTTCTTCCTAAACCACAATCATCACATCTTCTTCTTCTTCTCTCTGTATCATTTCCCAAACCCTAATATCACCTCTCCAAATCCTCTGCAAGGCCGTGGATTTTGAAGCCATTGTTGGAGAAAACGAAGGTTGGACTCAGACCCTAGGGGTGAACATTGGGTGGGTCGGGTGGATTTTTGAGATTTTTCAACCCACCCAATTAAGTTTAGGTGGGTTGATTTCAAATTTAACCCACCTAATTAAAATTTAAGTGTGTTGAGTGGGTTGATCGGGTTGAATATAAAAAAAAACTAATCATTCAACCCAAAATAAGAAATGTATAAAAAGAAAGCTAATTTTTACATAATATTAGCCTTCTCTAAAATGATCACATAAGTTATAAAATAAATATAAAAATAAAATACATACAAAACAAGTTCAAATATATAAGTTATAAACTAACAAACAAACAATAATAAAAACTCACACAACGTCAAACATAATAGGTTGTCAAGTAAATAATGTAAAATATGAGAGAAAAACTATATATTATGAGGTATAAAAATGTTTATTTATGTGGATAAATAGATTGGTAGGTTCGAGTTAATTTGAGTTAAGAAAAACTCAACTCAAACCCACCAAATTAATAATCGGGTTGGGTTGAATTCTTGATTAGGTTGATCGGGTTCAAGTTAAAATGAGTTGGGTTGTGTGGGTTAATCGGATTCGTCGGGTTTTTTGTTCACCCCTATCAGACCCTACATCGGAAGGGACCTGCGAGCATTTAGAAACTAGTTTCGCTTAAGCAGAGAGCTCTACGACTGTTTTTGGTGAGTGAAAATGTGCAAGGGAGTGACAAGATTGTGCGGCGGGCTGGGTTCGTGTGGGTGGTAGTGAGATCGTGAAATAGGTTTCCGAGAGCGGACTATGATAGGTGGATTGCTACATTAGCACATATGTTCGAACTATAGAAAGACTTAGATGGAGGTGCATTTCGAACCGTTTTCTATATATTTAGGAGCGTTTGAATGATATTATAAAATTAGGTAGCGTTTTGAAATATGTACATATTTCTGGGGGATTTATGAAAATAATTAATAGAAAAATAAAGACAGTAAATAAATATTGACGTGACGTTTTCTGATAGGCTAAGGTGATATTTTGAGCCAAAGACCAGCAGAGCCTCCCTGAGTCCATCAAATTTTGCCTTTTATTTGTTTTTATTTTTTTATTTTTTATTTTTATTTTTTTTTCCA